TCATATTATTATCCATGGTGATCATAGTAACTTGAAGTTACGTAAATCCTGAGGAGTGCGCATAACTTTAATGGCTTCGTCATAATCAATCACGTACTGATTAAAGTCTTTCTCTGGATTCTCTGAAAATCGCCACACAGATTCTTCATCAACTAAATCATTGATTATTGATGCTGGCAACAGTTCAGTTTCATTATAAGACTGAGGTATGGGCTCACTTTCACAAGCATTCATTGGGTCAGGCTCACTTTCATCACTATCATGGTCACTGCATGTCTCGTCACTGTCCACTTCTACCTCCTCACAGTCTGTATGTTCTTGTTGTGATACATTAGTGTCACTGTGTTACCATTAGACTCACTTTCATCATTTTCATTTTCACTTTCATCGTCATTATTGCCGTCAGTGCATGTCATGTAACTCTGTACCGGAACACAGTCTGCAAAAAGGTCTTGTGATGCATAGGAGTCACCTTTTGTATTATGAGTATACCAAAATCACTATAACTATCACCAAGCATTACTGGGGTGTCCACGTGAGCACTGTCGTCACTAAACACATGCTCAGGAATAATAGGCTCCTTGTAACAAATAATGCTTTTGTATGTCCTTAGTATTTAATGTATCATATTTTATGTAACAACTTACTCTTATAATGTCTCTATTATTCTTTATGTTTATTTATTTATTTACTTATTATTTCTTGATAAGGGGGGGGGGTGACTTAGGACCCTTATTAATGGTTACTGTACTTATTGACTACTTTATATTAGGGTTTAACAGTTACACTTCAAAATAATAAACCTATGCTCCAAGCTAATTAAACGGGGACCAGGTATCTCACAACAAATGGGAACTTAGGCTTTACCAAATAGAATACACCCAAATACCTGCCATGTCGCCACCACAGATGTCACACACTTCCCTACACAAAATTCCAACACAGACTCCTGTTCAAACCGCTTCAGCCTACAAGAGACGCCACAACTTTCATGAAGTCACGCCTCATAGGCTCTCTCATTGGTCGAAAACAGGCCTAAGGCCTTCACACTATTGGCTCGGAATTGGCGGGAACTCCCGGGTGGCGGGAACTTCATGACATTGTTACAATACTCCCCCTGGTCGCTTATATGAAAATTTGTGAGATGTTCACAATATATTTTGCAAATTTTCATTCCTAATCCTAGCTAGGAATATCTAAAATTAATTAGCATATTAAATTGACAACACAAATCATGTTTCTTAATATTTGCACATCAAACTAATTCGCTGGATATCACAAATGAAAAGAAAATAAATTCTAGTAAATGTCAAATTAATATTAAAATGTTCTCAGTATTTAAGAAAAACATAGAAATTGTTGAAAACAAACACAAAAATGTGTCAAATATGAATCACACAAAATCATGAGAGCTAAAATGATGGATAATTCAATAAAATAAATCAGCAATGAAAGTACTGTACTCTAAAATAAAAATCATTAATAATGGGAAGTCAAAATGCTCTAATAAATTCAGATCAATCAGATATTAACTCAAAATACAAATCAATGAGAAATCAAATTACTGGAAAATATTCATAATAAAATCACCCATATGAAAACAAAAGGCTTAATTACTAGTCAAGCACAAATAAATGTATATAGAAGATGAATTTTCTTTGTTTATTTCTCTCTTTGGTTTTTATAAAAAAAAAAATTCAACTTTTCATGAATCTTCAACATCATTTTTCAAAATTACTAACATTGCTATACTGTATATCAATTTTCAACATCAATTTACATTACTTCTCAAAACAGCTTTTCTTCACTTCTTATCTTTATTACTGTACTTAAAATTTTGGTTTTCATTCTCTCAATTAATTTTGCAGATATTTTTTTCTTACATATTCTGGTATATCATGGATCTTATCTCACACACATACACACTTTGTATATCTTATTTTCTGTGGTTCAGCTGGTCTCTCATCTGCAGAATTTTTTCAATAAACTGTTAATTATTATTATTATTATTATTATTATTATTATTATTATTATTATTATTATTATTATTATTATTATTATTACTAATTATTAGTTGACATATGCAGATGGCAGGTCGTCCACAGACACTTACTTACTGTTCACTAACTTTCAGCTTCCATCTACTATGAGTGAACAAATCGTTTCTGGAGACGTGGAGTTTCTTGACTACATTATCCACTATGTGCTAACTGCCTAGAGTTACTCGTATAAGACATAACTTCATTCCACGATGGTAGAGGCTTACTGGGCGGCCTAGTTTCAGAACTCATAACGGAAACTTTTCCAATAGTGGGGGGAGCAGCTAGTAGTTTTTCAACACCATCCATCCCACTGGACATATGATTCTCTCCTTCTCTTCTCAACAACTCCACAAGAATCTTCTCCTCCAACACCAATCAGGACACACAGCATCACTCATATCCACAGTGACCACCATCCCATCCGTACTAACACCTTCGTGAACTGTTGTGTTGCACCGTTGCACGCTTCTCTCACTCCATCAGGTTCGGCATGACACATCTACACTGGCAGGTGCCTATGGGGCGGATCCTTAATAGAGCTACCAATGGGACAGGGGCTTTCCAGGACAGTATGTGTCACTGCTCTTGGACATCCACTTCTCTCCTCCTCCTTGCTTCTAGCAGCTGTCGTTCAAGTAGTTTGGACGTTGCAAACGCTGACTGTAGCTAACATGTTGACTTCGGATCAATACAGTTAAGGTCAGCCCCTTCCTACCCAACCAATTAAGGCAAGGCCCCTGGGTCAAAGAGAGGCACCGAGTCGGCTCCGTTGTCCCTAGATGTTTGCTTCTAACTTGATGACTGTGGTACCAGCAATCCACCAGATGGTGTTGTCGGGCGGGCGGCCTGGCTGGAAAAATGATGACAAGATCCCAGCTGGGGACATCTCTGCGTCCGGCATACCCATGTTGACGGAAGGTCATGCTGGCAGTGACACTACGTCATTCACTTCCATTGTTATTGTTTTTCTTTTCTTGGATGCACTACTATCACTTGCATCAGGTTTGCATATGGGAGCCACGATTAAGGTTGTAAAAGAGAGTTAATAAACAAAAAACAATAGTTTACACTTGATCACACACGTTACTGTGGTAAGGTTAAGGAGGTACTGACGCTCCCTCAAGGTGGGTGGCTGGGTGATGCATCATTCTCCATGCGCCGCTAAGCCTCCCCTCCTTGGCAGCGGTAACTAGTTCTTGTGCATAACTACTACGAACCATTGTACTTATATGTCAGATTTTTAAAATAATTGACATTATGGGACCTCGTTCATATTGGCAGGCGTTCGTAAGTTCCAAGACCATGTCCGTGCTGAGTTATATGAAATTTCAAGATGTCAAATTTCTAGTTATTGAGGGTTTACTTTTAGGAAAAATAATTATAGAAGAAAATTTGTAAAAAAAAAATATTTTTCTCTAGGTAAATTTAGTGTAAATTTTGCATTCTGATGAGCGTGCCCAGACCTAGTACAGATAATTAATTTTTTCACTCCAGGTACAAAAGTACAGTCAGTCCCCGACTTACGACGGGGTTAGGGACCGACGACCGGGTCGTAAGTCGAAAATGCAAAAATAATAAATAGAAAATCTAAAATGGGTGTTTCTTTTTCTTCTCAGCACCACGAGAACTCTCACTTTTAAGCTTGCCAGCCATTTTAAAGGGAATTACAGACGAAAATGATGTCAGTACACAGCGCGATCACTAACGTCGGGACTCGAAAATACGTAATTTGAAAAAATATTTGTACGATTGCGGCAGTCGTATGTCCGGGTGGTTGTAAGTCGAGCAGGTCGTAAGTTGAGGAGTACCTGTATTGAGTCATAGCACTAGGACTGCTTGTTGAAGGGCCAGACAAACTATTTTTTACACTAAAAGGGTCAGGGACACGGGAGAGGCATCGTAAGACACCACACTATCACCACGTGGTGCAATCTCCTTGCACTTTATATTTTCCCACCCCACCACCCTTGCCATCAACACACGGCATGGTTGAAAACTCTCACAACACTTAAGAATAAATGAAATCACCGAGATGCACGAGAAATCGCCACAAGTCGTAAGGAAATGAATGGGAAATGTAGATCCCTTTAAACACAAAAGGGAGACTGGTGTGATGACCATGGAGTGCAGTCTTCATAGTTGCCAGATCGTGCTGATGTTGTCAAATGTGCATCTTGTGTATCTAGCGTGCATACGCCAACTAAAAATTATTTTGTTTTAATTTTGACTTCATACAGCAAATGTGCATATGAAAACCCTAAAGTGATAATTTAGATCATATGTGGTTTTGCATATGAAAACCTCAAGAGTGTTAAAAGACAAAGTTGAGGATAGGAGGGCCAGGGGAAGGCAGAGACTTGTGATGGAAGAATTAAATTAAAAACTGGGTCCCCAGAGTGATACAAAGCCCCCTAGGGTTGGTAAAAACAACCCAAAAATGTTTAGAGTGGAGCACTATTGGTCACCAACCCTCGTATCTGAGGACGGTACTCTGATTGATTGATTGATAACAGTTGAAGGCATAAGTTGTACTAAACACTAGCTTTGTAAACAGTGTGAACAGATACGGAGAATTCAATCACAGATGTGAGTCACACCAAACTTAGTACTGTACCAGTTGAGATTATTAGTGAAAATAGCTTTAATAATTTTGTGTTTATTTTATATGGTAAGTGTACTATCCATTGATTTATTGGTGTATTTTAGAGTGCATTATATTTAGCTGTATAAATCAAAGTGATTGGAGAAGTTACATTGGATAGGAACTTACAGAGAGGGAAGACCTGAGTGGTTGACCTGTAGCAAGACAGGACTAAGGTCACACAGAGGAGGAGGAGAGGACACCAGTTGTGAGTGGTTGTTAGAATGGCTCACTGACATATTGACTAAAACACCTTATGGCTAATTCATCATTCTTGTCTTTTATAGGAAATTGCATAATATATATCCCTTTTGCAGGACGTGGCCCCAACACCCATGCATACACCCACAGTGTTTCTGATGGTCACCATGTGTACCTCAACTTACAAACACTGAGATTCTACTGTCTTCCTGACAACTATGAGATCATTGGTAAGTGTCCTACATAACTTTGGGAATACCTGTCAGTGTTTAGGTAACTGATGTAGCATATTGGTGCTGCTCAAAGTTTACGCTTCTAAAACATGTACAAAATTTGTAAAAACAGTACAGGAATACCCCGGTTATCACCAAGGATGCATTCCTAAGAGTCATTGCAAATAACGAATTTGCAAATATCGGGGCATTTTTCCCCATAATTATCAATGTAATTGGGGGGGGGGGGTGCATTCCCAGCTGGCAACTTTCACCATGTACAGTACTATATTTTTTAATATATACTCCTCATTATCTGAGGATATTTTGGACCAGGGTTGCCTGTATAATGTAGTACCAGGAAATATGAGGAATAAATAAAGATAATTATATTAAAAAAAATACTGCATTGCCAGATGGCAATAGTTTCACTGCACATGGGAGACTAGAGCAGCTGAGATCCCAATGCTTCTCCCTCCTCGTCCTTCCACGATCCACGTGCAAATTCCCGCGGTTGTAAGAAAAGTTTATTCACTTGATATTTTTTACCTTCGCATAATTATTCGGATTTATTCCTTTTATTATTTTTGCACATTCTGTATGAACGATTGTGTATGCATTTAACAGATTAAAAAAATAAATAAAAAACTGTATGCTGTATATATACCCGAAAATTCCAAGTTGAAAAATAACAATAATACAGCTCACAGTTTAGTCTGGTAGGTGGAGGCTGAGATCACTGACACTGCACCGCCTCCCACTCCCCTCTATCCCTCCCACTATCTGCACACTAACTCTGCAGATGTATGAAATGTTTATTCTCTTTATTTTTTTTACCGTATTACTGTATAAGCATTTATTTTATTTATTTATTTTTTTTTTGCACATTCTGTATGAACAAATGAGTGTGCATGTAACAGTAAAAAAAAATATATAAATAATTTAAATATATCTAACTGAAATTAGGAGTTGAAAAATAGCAATAATACAGCTTGGCCTGGTAGAAGAAGAGCTGCCAAGTCCACACATACTGTATATACCGGTGTGTAGTTTGAGTTTTCTTAGACCAAATTTTTGGGCAAAAAATTGGGGGTTGACCTCTAAACAGGTAATAGTTTCGTTAGGTTGAAAAATATTTCCCAGCAACTGCCAGTAAACAATGGAAACGATGCACCACCAGCTGTGAGTGTCGGTACAGTTGCCAGGGCAAATCTCTTGTGTCATCATAGCAAGCCCAAAGTTGCCAAATGCATGGTATGGTAGCACAGGACGATGTAAAACATAAAGTGTTCATTTTTAAAAGTTTATTTATAGATACATAAATTTTTTTTCATTAAATTTGAAACACCAATCTTTGTTAATTAAATTTGAAACAAAAGAAAACTATGATACCGTATTTCTAAATATTTTCATTAAAATATTACATCACAAGTATATTTTACCTTAACTGTGCCTGAATGAATATATTCTCAGAAATAAATATGGAAATGTAATATTTTTGCTGAAATGACGTACGTATTACAGTGGAAAGTGGGATAAAGTTGTGACGAAAACAATGACTCGCTTTCTTTCGTTGTTCAAAAGATTTTACCGTAATCGCTTTTCGAATGGTTTTCAGTTAAAAAACTGTTGTATTACAATAATATTCTATCCTAATTCACTTGAATAAATACTACGATACCATATTTCTGAATATTTTCATTAAAATCCATCAAAATCATAATATGATGTGAGTCAGGTCATCTACACACAGTTGTCAGTTTCAAGATTTTCCGTTTAAAATTTTAAGTTACCGAGTATTTCTTTTCCCAAATCGTTTTACAATACTGTAGGTAAAACAGTTTACTATTGTGCAAACCCCACAGAAAAAAAAATTAACAAATGGTGACACCAAAAATGTAAAAAAAAAAAATGCTGTGTCTGCCTTGCAACACTGTTGGTAGGGTCAGGTGGTTCTAACGGCACCTGCCAGGACCCGGTTATCAAATTTATAACAGTGTCTAACCTCAATTACTGTAGTTTATATGATGTAGGCAATATGAAGTAAAAATACCAGTTAAAGTGAGAAATTGGAAGATAATAAACAAGAAAGATGTCGGGCAATTTTTGGTAGGGCTGAGGGAGAGAGTACCAGCTGTTTGGTCTTTTTTGGCGGGAGAGTCACGCAAATATCCGTACTGGTATTTGTTTGGTGTCTTCTGTATTTTTAAAAATGATTACAGGTTGACAATCCCTTATCCGAAATCCTTGGGGCCAGAGGCATTTCGGATTTTGGAATTTTTCGGTTTTCAGAATGGTTATTTTTTTTGTTTTTTTTAATGTGTATTAGCCCACCCGGGCATAGATCACTGACCCACATCAGGGCCTGGGGGGCAAAAATATAATAAAAATTATAATAATAATAATAATAATAATTCATAGGTCTAGGTCGTGTTTCTCACTTTTGATCTTTTTTTCATTCTTGTATTTCTTTATTATTATTATTATTATTATTTTATTATTACAGTACTCCTATTATTGTTATTTTTATTAATTTTATTATATTTTATTATTATTATTATTAATGTTATATATTTTATTTTGGTGTATTTTTATTAACATTTTTATTTACTATGAATAATTATATTATTATAATTATTATTACTATTACATTTTCGCCCCCCAGGCCCTGATGTGGGTCAGTGATCTATGCCGGGTGGGCTAATCCCTGTTTAAAAAAAATGCCCCCCCAAAAAAAACTTTCGGTTTTCAGAGCTTTTCAGTTTTCGGAATTTCGGATAAAGGGTTGTCAACCTGTAATTGTAAATTAAAAGTACCGTAATTTTGTATTATATACAAGCTTGTCAAATTTCTGGAAAATAAGAAGCAAGAAAATAAGAATATACCGGTAAACAATTTCAACGTACGCTAAAATTAAAGGCTGCTTAAGAAGGGCCGATGCAATAACAAAGCCTCCGCGACCAGGGCTCTGCTGTATCAGCTAGACGGTACACGTGTTTTTCATATCGTTTTCAGTTAAAAAACTGTTACATCACGAGTGAATTAGGATAGAATATTATTGTAATACAACAGTTTTTTAACTGAAAACCATTCGAAAAGCGATTACGGTAACATCTTTTGAACGAAAGAAAGCGAAAGTCATTGTTTTTGTCACGATTTTATCCTACTATCCACTGTAATACGTATGTCATTTCAGCAAAAATATTACATTTCCATATTCTCAGAAATAAATAGTAGTTTTGCTGAAACGTGATGTATTTCAATATAAATTAGGATAAACTACATGACGAAAACAAAAGACTTTACCTAACCTTCCGATGTTCAAGAGATGTTACTCGTTTTTTTAGTAGTTTTCGGTTAAAATACTGTTATATTAGTGATATTCTATTCATACTGTGGTTGATATAATACATTCATGGAAATGTAATATTTTTGCTGAAATGACGTACATATTACAGTTGAAAGTGGGATAAAATCATGATGAAAACAATGACTTTCGCTTTCTTTCATTCAAAAGATGTTACCGTAATCGCTTTTCGAATGGTTTTCAGTTAAAAAACTGTTGTATTACAATAATATTCCCTCCTAATTGACTTGAATAAATACTTGAATGGAAATATACAATATTTTTGTTGAAACTACCCGCGTTTCAATGTAAAGTGTCGTAATAATAAATGGTAAACAATTTGCCTTCGGCACTCGGTGTTTCAGGCACGGCGAGCCTCAGTTTATAGGACGTACAGTGTTTTTACTGAAGGTTTTGTTGTTCCATTACCCTCAAAAACTTGGGTCGACCTATAAACGAGGAATATCATAAATTAACGATTTCTTGGTAAAAAAATCAGGGTCGACCTATTGTAAGGGCGCGTGTTTTCCAACACCTACACCACCCTTATCTTACTTACTTCTCTTGTCTAGTTCTTACTCTTACTCAGTTCCTTTTGGTAGCATGGACATTCTTTTGGTAGCATGGTCATTCTTTTGGGCATGGACATTCTTTTGGTAGCATGGTCATTCTTTTGGTAGCATGGTCATTCTTTTGGTAGCATGGACATTCTTTTGGTAGCATGGACATTCTTTTGGTAGCATGGTCATTATTTTTGTAGCATGGACATTCTTTGGGTAGCATGGGCATTCATTTGGTAGCATGGTCGAGGGTCTAGGCACATGGGCATTGTAATTCTGGTATCAAGTCATTTGGACGGAAATAAAGGTAAAATACTGTGGGAGAAATGAATACACCTAAAATATGCTAAGAACAAGTTTATTAATATGAAAGCAAAGGGAAAAACGAGATATTATTCACATAACTACCAGGTTCAACTCCTCGGCTTATTGCAGACTCAGTACTTTCTTTACTTATTTTCTTATTTCTTTACTCAACAGTAATTACTCAGATCTTACACTCTTACTGCACACAACCTTACTGGTATTACATTACATACATAACAGGACCAGTTCCTTGGCCCTACTCACAATACATAGTACTGTACATGGCACTCCTTGTACATTACTCTACTACTCACACCTACTGGTGGTACGTGGTATTACAGTACAGTTACGAGACATTACTCAACATACACGTTAATACTGAAAATAGCAGATACAGGGGACCACTGCCCAACATGGGATAATTATTTCCAACTAATTATCCCTAACATACATGTTACAACACTCTCTGTTGACATATACTTCCAGGGTGCGTCCCAGGGTAGAACACTGAGATTCACGACCGTTGTTATGGTCGGTGGTGGCCAGACACATGGCGAGTCTGGGGTCGGCACTACGAGGCAGTTGAGCATATTAATCAGGCCACATCGGTGCCATCGTTTCACATATTGATCCCTGCTGGGTATCTACTACATCCGGGGCAGTTGTCGAGCGATCCAAGAGTCACAATTGGATCTGGATCAAACGTTGGGGCGGGCGTCAGGGGACGGACTGGGAAGCATGACAACACCCAAACAAATCTCTTGTCAAGACGACAGACGTATTACGTTATATTACTATTTACACTGGGTGAATGACAATTCAACTGTTAAAGCATGAACACTGATATTCACTACAATTGACTGAATTAAACTGAATGGCTGCACATAAACATGCATGGAACAAACGTTGGGGCGGGCATCAGGGGACGGTCGCCCTGCGTGATGCACGGGTATATATATCCCTGTGTTGCCAGTGATCGCTACTCACGCAATGACAATAATTACAACAACTCTAACTGTTACTCATTCAAAGATGACCCTCAGTTGACAATGGTCTGGCGAATTACTTGAGTTGACTACACAGATTAATTCAAGATTGAGCTTCCCAGGAGAAAGTGGAATAAACAACGCATTGATAACTGTCTTCACAAAGGCGGGACTCTAGGAGGGAAACACAAGTGTAGTGTCTATGGGGAAAAACACGTCTTCTCAGGGGTCGCTAACTCACTCATGTTTTGCGGTCGTGGAGTTTAATAAGATTCATTAGTTAAATAGACTAGCAGTCGACGTGACCATGACACTATAAACGAGAGAGGATTATAGACGAGTATATACGGTACATTCACTTCACACTCACACACACACTCAGGCTCTTCATTTTCTTATTTTATAACAATATGCTACAGTAGTACCCCGATTTACGTGGTCAATTGAACCCACGGGGTACCGCGGAAAGTGAACAACAGAACATATGGGATTAATTCCAATAGAGACTGGCCCTACCCCCGAACTCCACTTTTTCCGACACAATACCTATGTTGTAGTAAAAATAACATCTTAATTTTATGATGGTATGCTCACACAATTAATATTTAAGAAAAATACAGTTGCCAGGTTAATGTCCATTCAAATAATGGACTCAACTTCCTCCCCCCTCCCCCTCTTCCCAGCTCACTGGCTCCTACCTCTCTGAGAAATGTTTGGGTGAAAACACTAGATTTTAACGTATAGTAATAAATAATACCTCAGACTAAAGTTAGGAATGTTAGGGTAATATAATTGACATTTCTGGATTCCTTGCAGGTCAGGGAATATTTTGAATGTGAACTTCATATATTTTGCACAAAAGATAAAATATTTGCTTTGTGTAAACCAAATTATTACATTAGATCTAAAATTTGTATGTCTAATGCAAAATCTCTGATGTTTATATTCAAAATAATCATCATATTGTAAGAATTCCAGCAATATAAATTTTATTCTGGCCGGGTAATTTGTATGAATTTTATGAGCTAAATAAAAAATTATACTTCACCCGCGTATATGAGTAGATGCACCGCGGAAAGTGAAAGTCTGGTTCTGGTGAAGTACCGCGCAAATGAGAAATCGCGGAAAGTGAAACCGCGTAAAGCGGGGTAATACTGTATTTACATGGATAATTTTTTTTTTTTATTCGCGTTGCGAATGAGTGGAGTATGCTTTGTGAATGTTGAATATGGGTATTAAAATATTATTGCAAATAAACGGAGTTGTGAATAGCGAGGTATTCCTGTACATTATTGTAGATAATAATTCAGATGTCTTATGGTATTGTTACTACAGTGTATAATCCTTTAAATATTGTGTATAAATATAATTGAGTAGCTACTGCGGTGCTGCATGATGGAGGATAATAATGTAAACTTCTTCACTTTGTTGAAAGTTTGAAAACTGTTCATATCCTCTTGGCTTGCTCCTTCAGATTCGTCCTTGAATGACATAATCTTTGTGGTGAACCCAACCTTCTCACGAGATTATATTGCCAACAAGGTCACGCAGAGCAAGATGAGTCGGGCATATGATGGTACTCTGTATCTGCCGGGCATTGTTGGTCTCAACAACATCAAGGCTAATGACTACTGCAACGTTGTTCTGCAGGTGAGGTAAAATATTTACAGAAAAAACCATTATTTGGATCATTGTGGGAAGAAATAGATAATACCTTCCTTCTTAGTACTGACATTTATCTCCTAACACAGTGGTTGGAGGGAGGTAGCCATGTTGGGGGAGGGGGACACTTGAAGTCCTGTTGATCTGATGACCCACATCGGGGGGCCGGGGGCTGGACCCCCCTTCCTTCTCAAGGAGGAAAGGGCTTCTTATACTGGAAGGGCTAGTAGGGAGAGATGAGACTTAATGGTTCTCTTGAGCTGCTACCCTTGAGACCTGGCTAGTGGTGCCTTTCCTCTGGCCCAGTTCGCAAGGGCTGGAGAGTTGTGCTCCCATGGCGACCCATAGAGTTGCAAGATGGGAATCCTGGAGGTCGAGCGATGCTGAATGCTGCATCCTATGGCTAGCAGTACACCTCTTTTGTCCCTTATCTGATAAAACTGAATGCTTGACTTGCAGCCCGATCAAGTCAATCTGTTGACCAACGTGGCTGGCCTCTGAGCGAGTCATTTGGCTAGAGTCCAGCAGGTGCCACCAAAGTCAACATCCCATTTGGACCCTTGGGTGTCATCAGACTTAAGGTGGTGGCACTCTGGGCACTTTCCTCCAAACATACTGCCCATTTTGCTGCCTGCTGGCCAAGCAAGCAACAGGATTTCTGCTGTGATGAGAAATGGACAGCGGTTTGGCAGCGAGGTCTGCTGGCCGGGTTAATACTCAAATGAGCTTATTTGCTGTTGAATATTCAAATGAAAATTTAAATAAATCATGAAACAATAATAATTTAAATTATAACACATAAAACGGTGACATGTTTCTGTTTATTCGTCACTTTAAAACTTCTTTAGTACAGTAATATCGCCGTTAGCAGATCCCTCAAACTCGGAACTCTCCGTGAGCTGGAATTAAATTTCTCGGAAAATCATTCCCCAAAGCCGGAATTTTAGATCCGACTTTGGGAACAAATCTCGAGGTTGAAAATCGAGAGGATTTTCTGAAAATGTCTTGAATAAAGATGGAGGTAGGGTGGGAGTTAGTGGTCTCATATTACTGACGTTTGATGGAATGTCAGGTCACCCTTTCTTGGGTGGGGGATTAGTGGGTTTCATGACCTGAAGACCCTGAATAAACACAAAAGCTAAAGTATTTTTAGGGAGATTGTGATAAGTATAAGTATAAATGAAAAAAGTTGTATCCCTTCAACATTATACTTCATAACATTTTAAAATATGGAGTGAGAAAGCAGAAAGGTGTGGGTGATTAGAGAGATGGAGTGGAAAGGAGTGGTAACATGCAGTAGTTGCCAAGGGATAACTCCTCAACAGCTGATCTCATTCACCTCCATGTATCCACACAAGACCCTCACTGGATGTTGTCTTAATTCGTGTGTGTGTGTGTGTGTGTGTGTGTGTGTGTGTGTGTGTGTGTGTGTGTGTGTGTGTGTGTGTGTGTGTGTGTGTGTGTGTGTGTGTGTGTGTGTGTGTGTGTGTGTGTGTGTGTGTGTGTGTGTGTGTGTGTGTGTGTGTGTGTGTGTGTGTGTGTGTGTGTGTGTGTGTGTGTGTGTGTGTGTGTGTGTGTGTGTGTGTGTGTGTGTGTGTGTGTGTGTGTGTGTGTGTGTGTGTGTGTGTGTGTGTGTGTGTGTGTGTGTGTGTGTGTGTGTGTGTGTGTGTGTGTGTGTGTGTGTGTGTGTGTGTGTGTGTGTGTGTGTGTGTGTGTGTGTGTGTGTGTGTGTGTGTGTGTGTGTGTGTGTGTGTGTGTGTGTGTGTGTGTGTGTGTGTGTGTGTGTGTGTGTGTGTGTGTGTGTGTGTGTGTGTGTGTGTGTGTGTGTGTGTGTGTGTGTGTGTGTGTGTGTGTGTGTGTGTGTGTGTGTGTGTGTGTGTGTGTGTGTGTGTGTGTGTGTGTGTGTGTGTGTGTGTGTGTGTGTGTGTGTGTGTGTGTGTGTGTGTGTGTGTGTGTGTGTGTGTGTGTGTGTGTGTGTGTGTGTGTGTGTGTGTGTGTGTGTGTGTGTGTGTGTGTGTGTGTGTGTGTGTGTGTGTGTGTGTGTGTGTGTGTGTGTGTGTGTGTGTGTGTGTGTGTGTGTGTGTGTGTGTGTGTGTGTGTGTGTGTGTGTGTGTGTGTGTGTGTGTGTGTGTGTGTGTGTGTGTGTGTGTGTGTGTGTGTGTGTGTGTGTGTGTGTGTGTGTGTGTGTGTGTGTGTGTGTGTGTGTGTGTGTGTGTGTGTGTGTGTGTGTGTGTGTGTGTGTGTGTGTGTGTGTGTGTGTGTGTGTGTGTGTGTGTGTGTGTGTGTGTGTGTGTGTGTGTGTGTGTGTGTGTGTGTGTGTGTGTGTGTGTGTGTGTGTGTGTGTGTGTGTGTGTGTGTGTGTGTGTGTGTGTGTGTGTGTGTGTGTGTGTGTGTGTGTGTGTGTGTGTGTGTGTGTGTGTGTGTGTGTGTGTGTGTGTGTGTGTGTGTGTGTGTGTGTGTGTGTGTGTGTGTGTGTGTGTGTGTGTGTGTGTGTGTGTGTGTGTGTGTGTGTGTGTGTGTGTGTGTGTGTGTGTGTGTGTGTGTGTGTGTGTGTGTGTGTGTGTGTGTGTGTGTGTGTGTGTGTGTGTGTGTGTGTGTGTGTGTGTGTGTGTGTGTGTGTGTGTGTGTGTGTTTTTCTGTGCTGAGTTAGTTATAAATTATTAATCTTATTGGAAATGTTTGGTGAAGAATTTATTAGGATCATTATGGTATCAAATTCATCTCCGTATCTAAATTAGCCCGCTTGAGTGAGGAGGACCATGCCCTTCCTAAAAAAATCTCTTGTACCAACACAACTGCATATGTGTGACTTGCAGTCACTTCTACTGTACATACAATACATAACATTCTCCAAAAAGCTAAATAAATTTTTACATTAATTTCACTACATCTACAACCATTGTTAGTCGAGACTTTAATGTACACAAAATCAATACAATAATAGATTGTGTCATGGAAGAAGATCGGCTAAAACTAATGTTATCGCACTTTTTTGGTAGATTTTAGTGTACTCAACGAAAATAATTTCAGTTTCAATATTTTGCAACCTTTGCTGGAAGTAAATTTTAAGCGTAATTTATCAAAAAATCTAACACGATACAGCTGCATTAGTACGTACAATTAAATAAAGTGAACATTGCTTTCTGACTTCGTTCTTTAACAACCCAACTAACAATATTTTTTTCTGTTTCAGATTCTGATGCATTTTATAAGTTGATAATATTTGCGATGGCTGCTTGTGTCGGGGCGAGACAAATCATGCATCTCAGTCACTATCTTAGGTCTGGGAGAGGCTCCTGGAAGTCCCGGAGTTGCCTACATTTAGAGATGCTTTGAGATACGGTGTTTAATCAGGGCAAATCAATGAAAGAACCAAAGAACTTACACAAACAAAGACATTGCCAGTAAATATGACCAAAGCTGTCTTGGCACAGTACACTCTGGCTAACGCTCAGTTCAAGCCTCCAGTCATAACAAGTCAGAAGAAGATTAGTGAGAGACTGCTAGCTAGTTGGGAAAAGGCAAGAGATATCTCTCTTGGGAGAGGAAAACTTGCAGTTAAGGACAGCTTTGCCAAGCAACTGGACCAGTTATTTGACATAATTACTTGCAAGCGCCCAATTGTTCTCTGTCCTGAGTTTGGATGAGATCGTGACTGTAAATCCGAGGCCCACATCTCCTGTATGTGCAAGCGTGAACTGAAGATTCCTGTGATCGAACTGGCATTTGTCAAAGCACAGAGAGAGAAGACTGGCAGTATAGGGGCTCTCATGATTTCTAGCCAAGATATTCCAGAGTCCAAGAGACAGGAGGCTGCCACAGAGAGACAGAAGAGGAGAAGAGTTGCCGAGGAAAAGAGACTTGAGAAGGCCCAGGGTGAGGTAAAAAAGGCCGATGATTGGAGTCAAGCTGATTCAGAGTTTAATGACTTTCCCATGGCTGATCCGAGTGCTGACCAGGAGAATGGTGACTTTGTCCCTAACCCAGAAAATAATGATCCCAAACCTTCCAGGCATAAGATTCGAAATAGGAAAGATATCCCGAGCATAGCTCTGGCCAGCATGCGACACCACACTGGTCTCAGAGAAACTGCAGAGATAGCAACAGCTGCCTGGATTGACGGTGGTTTGATAACACCTGATGATGTTCACCTGGTGATAGATCATAACAAAGTAAGGAGAGCTCAGGAGAAACTTGTCAGTAACCTAGAAGAGGAGTTTGATAATGGGATAAGAGAAAATGGAATCAATTGTTTGTTCTTTGATGGGAGAAGGGATGACACTAAAGTGTTCATGAAAGTTGGAGATTCTGACAAGTTGTTCCCTGCCATGGTGAAGGAGGAACACTACTCCTGCTGCAGTGAACCAGGAGGGAAGTATTTGTGGCATTTCACTCCAGAGAAAGATGACATCAGGAAACCAGCTGAGATAGTGGCAGATAACATTGTGAACTGGCTCAGAGAGAGGAACGTAGACCAGACCCTGCAGGCCATTGGAGGGGACAGCACCAACACGAACACAGGGTGGCAAGGGGGGGTCATACAGTGGATAGAGCGGAAGATTGGGAGGAAGCTGGTCTGGATTGTTTGTGACCTCCACACCAACGAGTTGCCACTCAGACATCTGATCCAGGAGCTGGATGGCAAGACTCTTTCAAACAACAGATGGTCTGGTCCTCTTGGCAAGATACTGGACTCTGCCACTGAGTTAGAAATAAATCCTAGCTTTGAAAAAATCACAGTTGGCCCTCCACTCGTTGAGCTTGCACATACTGTCATTGACGACCTGAGTACTGACCAGTACTATGGTTACATGATTTGCAGTGCCATCAAAACTGGGGTCATGCCTGATAGACTTACTTACCTGCAGATAGGTCCAGTCTCACATTCTAGGTGGCTCACAACGGCTCTCAGGTTCTGCAGAATTTGGGTCGCTCATCATAAACTGAAAGGGAACCAGCTTCACAACCTGAGACTTATTGTCCAATTC